CTTCGTGCTTGATTCTGCTTCAACGTCCCTTCTCATTAACTCTTCCGCGTCTTCATTGTCTTTATCCATTCCAAATTTAAACCTATCCAATACAGAGAGCTTATTCTGTGATCTACGCGAAGAAGTACTTCCATGCTTATCTGCATCCCTCCTCCTGGCGCTTTCATCCAGTATCTCGGTAAATGCGGTAGTCCCTGAAGAAACCTGAGTCTTAAGGTAATCAATTGGGTGCTGAAGAGGCGATAATGGAGGAGGCAAATTAGGGAGTTCCAATTTCGCTCCGGATGTTGGCGATTCAAGAGAACTTTCCGTATCAATGCTAGGTGCAGATGTGTGAATGATAGGTGTCACGTTGAACCTTACTGTCGAACTCCTGTTGGCTTCCCCCAATTCCACATCTTGGCCGAATATATTTTCTCCCTGTGTGACTGCTGCCCTGGAATCATATTTGTTCCCTGCTCCGCGGTTAGGCACCGCTATGGTCGCAGGATGTTCGGAAATGACGGGAAGAGCAGAAGATCCATTTGATCCTCGCCGAGCATTGAGATTGAGGCTCACGCTTCGACGATGGTTGCCATTTTGAGGATGACCATTGCCATTTGGAGGCCGATTGAATGACATAGAGTATCGACGAAGACTGCCAAAACTAGCACGTATTTCAGATGCACCTGGTTCGTAGCTTCCATCACTTACGAGAGACAGGCGTTTGTCATCGGGTGAGAATACACTTTCAACGTCTTCAACTGGTGCTTTGGATGTTTGAAGACACAATATTCCGCAGCATATCACCAGAAAACCAAGTATAACGGAAATTATGCTTGTTAAAGGTGCAGTAAAACCTTGGAATAAAATCGCCGAACTGATAATTGTCAGACTGGTAAAGGTAACATAGTAGACTGGTGTTACCATAGCCGTGTTGAATAAATTGAGGGCTTTGTTAAGATAGTTGATTTCCGTTAAAAGCGTTGCCACGACAAAGACAAGGAGGACATAGAAAAACCAATGAGTGAGCTGATTATTGCCCATGATTGAGGTGACTATCGCAGTACCAAGTCCTTGAGTTGTAACTACAGATAAAGAACCAATGAGAGAACATATGCCAATATACACGAGCATATTCTTGGATCCGTATTTTGGGGCGACTTTCCAGATGATTATTATTGATGTTATAATCGCAAGACAGGTATATACAAGAAAGACTAAAAGTGAAGAAAGCGTATAAATTTTAGTCAATATAAATGATAACATTCTGTTGATCAGTTTTTACCAACATTGTCATGTACTCACCTGGTGCAAAGAAGAGTTTAGAGAACTCATCAATGGTACTCGCAGACTGTTGATCAGGCGAGTGTATGACAATCATTACCGCACCCAAGATACATAAAGCACAGCCAATTTTCCCTTGTAAGTTTAATCGTTCTTTCAGAAATACTGATGATAACACGGCACTAGCGTTATATTTAGAATAATGAGTACATGGATAGTGTTCAATCAGTTATTTACCAAATTGTGAAAGTCGAGAAAATACCTGATAACAACACTGAGAGCTCCAAGTGGTGTAACTATAATCGCTTGTGCAAAAGCATATGCAACGAAATTGCACAATTCACCAATAATCACTGAATATTCGTAATAAAGTAAAGGTCAATACAAGCTTATATAGTTGTAATTAAATTTCTTCTTTTTTTTTTTTTTTTTGATTCAAAATCACTTACTTAAAATCATTCCGAGCCACCATAATTTATTTGACAAGTAACTATGTCCTTGGCCAGCAACGGCACCTTTATTGAACAGAGAGGAGAAAAATAAAGAAGTAAGATATCAGACAATCATTGGACGTAGAACTCGAAATGCATGCAATTACCGGAATTCGTTTCTTGCAAAAGACCCTTCTTCTTGAATATGAACGATGAGCCGATAAAAAGACCTGAAGACAAGTCATAGAAAGTTCAGTATAATCTTACGCTAATTGGTACGTCACGGACTTTCTTCCAACTATCGACAACTATTCATATTTATCCTCAGATAACTTGAAACCATGTATGCTACGAGATTGAACCTCGTGGCCCATAGATAAGGCGGATGTGTTGTATCGAACGTGTTTTATGCTAATCAATTCACCCTTTCTGTGTGTATTTCTACAGTTTTCTACTATCTAGTCTTCTTTCTTCCTTCTTGTCGTTCCGTTACTACCATCCCTCCTTAACTTACCGCTAGCAAGTGCGAGTGATATTCCCACTGCTCTAAACACTGGATCATTATGGTTGGCCCCCTGAGCGTCCCCGTTGTCCATATTTAATAAGTGGGGGGGGTTTGAGTGTTTATTTATCAGGTCACTTGACAGTTTATAGGTATACCTCGCCTTTCGAGGATGTAGGCCTCGGTCGTGAAAGAACCCTACTAAGATTATGGCAAATTGCGAGCGACGAAAGCTAAACGTAAAGGTCTTTCGAAGGTAAGGCTGCCGTGCTATTTGAAAAGAGCGTAGTGAAGCGTGTCACGGCCTTGGTGTTGTTATGTGCTGTTTGTGTGGCAGGGAACGATAATATACCCCCAAGTTAGCTCGTGTGGCTATGCCTATCCTTACTTTTAATGATGTTGATAATATCAAAAGCGGACTTTTTTCTGGGAGCTTTCTCTCGATTAAAGGAAGGGGGTATGTAGGATTTAGCTACTGCTACCAGAGCAATGAGTGGGGAGGCGGAGAGGGGGGATGGGAATAACAGATGAATAACTTAAAACTGGGTTTTAATTTGCGAGTACAAGGAGAATGTGTGATGTTAATTTATGGTTAATGTTCCAAAAATAGTATGTTACGAAGGGAGAAATGAAAAATTTGAGATAAGGGTGATTGTAAGACAAGGATTAAAGTAAAGTATTGGTAGAAACTAGTCCAACTAATGTTGGAGAGAACAATATGATTGATAGGCACGTGGCAATGGTTCTACCACTAAGCCCATTGGACGTTAGTAGTTAACCCCTTTGTGCAATGCGTTTCGGGCGATATGGCATTAGTATTAGTAGTATTAGTACAAATATCCGAAATCACATATCGATATAACTGATATAATTGCACTATATAACTCCCACGTAATGTCCAATTACAGGTTAAATTATTTGCCCAAGACGAAGCCTACCGGCCCGGCTTGTATATTAAGGCTTGGCTGCTATAACAAGATGTTAACAGCCTCGTGGGGCTCTGTCGTCTATAAATAGAATGTCCGTTGGCGATCAGTGCCCATTAATGCGCAACGACAACGATAACAACGAACGGCGCAACAAATAACAACTAAAATTCATTTCTTTAATTGGTGTTTTACCAATATGTACAGTAGGTGGAATCACCACCGATTTAATATTAATACCCCCCCGTTAGAAATCGAGAATCGAAAAAGGTCGAACAAACTGTGCTAAAATTGGATGCAATGATTATAATAGGATAACGCGATTCCTGTAAAAAGATGATACAATAATGAAAGGCTGAAACCCAATATTAGATCTGATACACAGAAAAAAGTTTAATAATTCTCATTAAACTTCTGACATGACGTATTTACTCAACATACGCGCCGCTAATACCTAACTCTATGGGCTAAAATACCAAACATGTGCCAGTTGCACAGTGAAAATACAATTCAGCCACGTTTGACTTACATGTGGATCACATCCCCAACGCTCAGGCCCTGTTACATGCAGTCATCGGTTAGACTTTACTTAAATAGAGCCAACAAACTATTCTTTGCCGCATGATTTCACAATTTGCTAGATCGACAAATGCGTAGTTTTTTAATCCATAAAAATACATTACAAAAAGCGTTTGTTCCTATATGTCAATTCGATGGACGTTACGTATGATGCGCAGTCTGGCTAACAATCGAACCAGAACCTGATTTCATACGTAACTAAATCTTTTTTTTTTTTCATCAGGGTATCCGGAGTCTGTTGCCCAATTTCATGCTTACCCAACCCGTCGGTCAGTGTGTTTTTAACAAATGGTTAGGAGATCGCTTGCACCATTATTATGCTCACTGTTTTACTCTGAATAAGCAAATGTCTTCACCAATCAGCCGTATAAAGTTTGATCTTACTGTTCACTCTGCTAATCATCCCGGAGTACTAACCAATTCTCGGTTTCCCGTTCAGGATGTTTCTCAGAAAATTCTAAAATGTTTAATCGTTACATTTGCAAGATGAAATTACTATTCTCGGAAAAACACATTGTTTCACCTCGCATGGCTATTAACCTTATCACGACGCCAATCGTTCATTTGTCTGTGTTCTGATCGTTATCTTTTTTTCTTGTTCTTTCTATAGCAACATTCTGTCATACGTGGTTCGTCTTGGCACGCACACAATATTATCCAGTAAAATCGACCGTACGGTTTTGTCTCCTGGTTACGGTCGTCTCCGTCGCATGATTCTGACAGATCGCACACGTAAAACATGCAACACTAATTTGGAAGGTCCTGTATGTAGCGAACATTCCTGCGATAAACCTCAGCTAGGCCACAGTGAGTAATGATTAAAGTCAAACCGACCACCGTGCAAGTGATGAGGTGTTAACCAGCTCACTCCATTGAGTTCCGTTGTTTTGGTTGCAAGGATTTATGCTTGGCGGGGGGGTTGGGATCAGGCGTATAATATATTTAAGATATTCTGATGACTTTGTCAGACTTGCGTCACAATACAACTGATCTTACCCCCTTTGATACAACTTAATTTATACCAATATTAGTGATCAATTAAAATTCAGTTCCTATAAACAGACGTGGATATGCGTAATAATTAGGAAAAAAAACCTTACATGATGCCATCAGGCCCTGCTCACTTCCCGTTTTTACTGTATGCCCCCTTTTCCGACCATTTATTTATATGCAGCACTTTATTGATCACAAATCTATATAAGCCGATCAGTGACTGAATCTAATCTATCAAATTGCGTGGTCTTAGTGGTAACTAGTAAAAAAGTCACTTTTCCTTCATCCCTTTCGAAGCCAGTCATGCCCAGCGAAAATAAATATGCCTCAAAATACATAACGACACAAGAACTCAACAGAAGAATAAAGGAACAAAACCAGGCGCTAGTCATATATGCAAATAAGGTGTATAGATTGGACAAATGGCTCAAGTTTCACCCGGGAGGAGAACTTGCTATAAAACATATGATCGGAAAGGACGCGACAGATGCAATTAATGCGTTTCATCCCGATTACGTAAAGAAGAAGAACATTCACACGTTCTATATTGGCGAATATGTGGACGAAGATGCCTGCATACCGTCAGCAGAAGCAGACAGAGCAACACTAGACAACACTCCTGTTAATAATATTGCTAAACCTATATTATCAGCCATCACGTCTTCCATTACATCCTCAATCACACCGTCTACAACATCGACTCGACGCATTTCATCAACTTCCCCACCAACACAATCTTCCGACGCGAAACTAGATCTAATCCACCAAGAACGTATAACAGAAGCATATCGTAAACTAGACGCCCGTATCCGTTCCAAAGGTCTCTACAATACTCGCTACATTAACTATATGTATGAGGTGATGCGCTTTGGTACACTCTACGCACTTACCTGGTATTTCGCGCTGACTGGCACGTCTACTCTCCATTACCTTATGTCTGCTGTATGTCTTGGTGCGTTCTGGCATCAAATAGCATTCACGGCCCATGATGCTGGTCATAATGGCATTACGCATTTGCTGCCTGTGGATGGTATCATTGGAGTAATGACCGCCGATTTATGCGGCGGACTGAGTATGGCATGGTGGAAAAAGAGTCATTACGTTCACCATCTAGTCACCAACGAAATAGAACATGATCCGGACCTACAGCAATTACCCTTCTTCGCGGTTAGTACTAAATTTGTGCAAAGCATATATTCGACTTATTACGAAAGAGTACTCGATTTCGATAGAGCAGCACAATTTTTTATCCAATTTCAACACTTATTATACTATCCTGTACTAGCTTTTGGAAGATTCAATTTATACTTTTTATCCATATCACACATTTTAAAAGAACAAAGAGTGGCTTTCAGGAAACTAGAACTATTTTCAATGGGACTATACTGGATGTGGTTCTCTTACCTTCTCTCACGTCTTCCGTATTCCCTGATAATTCCCTACATTTTAATATCTCATATGATAACCGTGTTACTACATGTACAAATCACGCTCTCACACTACGGTATGTCAACGGAAGAGCTTGGACCAAAGGAAGCATTTGCTGCAAAGATGCTTCGTACAAGCATGGATGTAGATTGTCCAAAATGGTTGGATTGGTTGCATGGTGGATTACAGTTCCAGGCCATTCACCACTTGTTTCCAAGGGTACCTAGGCATAATCTGAGGGAATGCCAGCGATACGTGAAGGAATTCTGCAAAGAAGTGGGCATAGAGTATCATTGCTACGGTTTTGTAAAAGGCAACGGAATAGTATTGGAGGCGTTGAGGGATGTAGCCAACCAAATCAGCTTGATGAACAAAGTTGCAAAAGGGATAGTCGAAAAAGAACTCAGAGAACATGTCAATTGATAATGAAACAAAATTGTAATAGAGATCCTATATTTATCATTATTTATTTATTTTGCTATTCAATAAACTTGGGTGTGTTAGATATGAGCGTAGTTTGCGCTCCTTACGAACATTCCCCCATTTATAATGTGAGGAATAAAATCACTCCACTTGGTGCCTAATTACTATTGGTCGGAGTTCGTTGTATAGTATCTTCGTACAACCTTTACGAGATATTGTACTCCACGAATATAGGCGGAAGTGTAACTTTGTTACTAATACTCTTAGCGACGCATAAAGCTGTTTCCATAATAATTGCCTTCTATCAGGACAAACCATTATTCAAATGTGTTTATATTAGCTTTGTGGCCTAAGTCTGCATGCCACTCTCAACGTTGCTTATTGCAATAAATAATGTGGGAAATAATGATACATAGTGAAATTCACTTAACGAAGTCTCACTTTAACGAAGATCGCTTTATAACGAAGTTCTTTCCAGAACGGATTCATATACTTCATATAAAAAGACAGTTCACTTAAGCGAACTTTCAGGTTAACGAAGCAAAATCGTGGAACGAATGTCTTCGTTAAAGTGAATTTCACTGTGTAATTAATTATAATTTGTTAGTAAAATTAAATTTCTGAATTCTGAGACTTATAACTTAAAGCCAAGCTATTTGCAAGAACACTCGATATTGAGTTTAGACAGAAATAATCTAACCATTTGCACGGGTAATCTCTTTAGTTATCATAACTCTCGTGGCTTAACTATTTGATGTTATTAAACTTAGTCTCTGAGAGTGATCATTGCAAATGCACCGATTGGTCGGAATTTTAAACGTGACCGTGCTCATAGTTACCGTGTTTACGCCACATTAAATAGGCTTGTTTCCATTGGAGTGATTAAACAAAGCTTTCAAGTTGAGTTGTCTTACAGAAATTTGTTTTAACCAACCTTTCATTAAATTGTATAATAAAAGACCTTGTGGGGGAGGTGTTCAGAGGGACGTATGAGAAGAATTAGCAATGTAACCGTGTTACGGGTGAGTACAGTATGCAGAAGAACATTGTGATGGTGATGCTGGTTATTTGGTTAAGAAGAAAATGCATGTGGTTATTACTATATTTATAATTAGTCTGACAAGCGTTGCAGTCTGTAACAAACGAAACGTAGCCTTTTCACATAACACAAACGCATCTACCTCCTGCTTTTTACATGTAATGTGTGGCGCAGAATATTACGCGAAAATTGTCTTGGCAGCACATTAACCGATGCTTGGAGCCATTGACGTTTTAACAAGACAATGACCCGAAACACGCAAACTTGGGCTCCATGAAATGTTGGATAGGCCATCTCATAGAAAATCTATAGGCAATTGTTAAAAAAGCATGAAAATACAAAAGCCGAAAAAAATTAGGTACGTGTATTTATGGGTAAGGATGCAGAGATGGCTTTGTAATCAATTTTGTAAAATCAATGTCTTGCCGTTGCAAGCTCGTTCTTGAAAGCAATAGTGACGAATTAATTATTAAATCTTGATAAGATTTATAATTACCAGCTTTCAGATAAATTTTTTGAAACATTAGTTGAGCAAAGTCGGTTTTTCAGCCATGTCAATGCCCAACTTTTCAAAAATTAACAATTGGCTCCCATTAAATCAGCAGCTTTAATATTTAAAATGCATTATCTTAAACACTTTTATCATTAAAATTTTGCGTTGAGAGTAATAAATTTCTTCAATAACAAATACCCGTATATGTTTCTTGTAATTACCCTCTGTGACAACCGAAATAGCTTTATTAACAAAAAACAACTTGCACTTGTTGTACCTCAGTTGGGGACCTGCTCAGGGCAACTGAGTTTTGGACTAAGTGACTGGGAACTCAGACAACACATACTCATCTAGCCAATTCCGAGCACCTTTCAGTAGTAAATAGCTAACATCAATAAAAAGGTAGAAATTGCTGTTCCTATTCCTCATTAGGTGACGCGTTGATTTACACAAGTCGTGATCAACATTACAGTATAATATCGTGGCGTTGACGCATTAATTCTGCACAAAAATGCTCGTTCGAATGCGTAATGTAATCGTACAGAATTTTGTAACTAAAATTGACGGCCAAGGACGTACCTTGACCTTATTTTCCTCCTTCAATTTTTTTGCGATTTTCGAACGGTGCTTGGGATCGCTATCTTCTTGCAAAATCCAGTCTATGTTACCCTCGCCAAAAAGTTCATGGGCGGAAGCCAGAAGACCCTGCTCATAAATACTACACATAAAATTAGCCAACCCCTGAAGCAGAAAAACACCCCCAAACATAAATTTTTGACAGTACGAAATACTTTTTTATTTATAATAATTTCTTTCTACTTTAGCCGTAACCAGATGTTCTTTGTATTTTTATTTCAACAGATTTTTCGCTTCTTCTTCCTTACGAGCATTATACTGTAAGCGCTCCGAAAATGTTGGCACATATCACATAAATCAATTCTTGGACTCATGATTTGAATATAACTTGCGAAATGCATCATATTTCAACGTGTTACCGTTTTCGAGACCTGCAATAAAATCACGATAGACCGATTTGTAACTTGTTTCGGCTGGCAAAAGTGTAAGCGATTGAGTAATGCGATTGACATTTCTACCAGGACTTGGTAATCCATGTATTTCAGCGTAATTCTCGAGAAAATTCTTCACAGGTAATATCAATGGTTATTTTTGTCTTCCATCGCGGCACTCTTTTTACATTACCATGAATGCGCGGTATTATACCATTTGTCGCTAGGTGATTTCTGACGTTTTCGAAGCGAGTGCGACCAATTCCTAACATATTTTCAAAAGAAGCGTATTGCAATCTCAATAATAAAAAGTTCTTTTATTAGTACGCGTTTTCTTTTTAAGACGTCGGCTGGCAGTTATTTCCCCGTCATTCATTGCTTTCAGTTGGGCCATTAAAAATATGTCTTGCTCAGATCTAGAGAGCTTGAAACGCCTCACGTAACTCGGCAAACTTCTCTCTCGGAATTATTTTTGAACAACCACAATTGCAACCTATCTCCAAGAAACGACCGTTATAATTAAAATTTACATATACGGAATCCCTTAATCTGTAGGCCAATCTTTGGGCAAATTTGACCCTTGATTTTGTAACGCATTTTTGAGAACAATATTACTATGTTATTTGCACTTTGGCCATTAATAAAAGTTATGTACCTTGTCCAAAAGATTTATGTAAAATTTCTAAAATTTTGCAAATTCTGTTTTATTGAATATATGATAGGGCACCATATTCTTAGACTAAAATTTTTTTTACTTTATTGTGAATCTAAATAGTCAAAAATTTCAATAAACAAATGAGTCATTGAAGAGTAATGGCCATTTGAAGACAGGCACTCACATCCCTTAAACCCATACATCCTCTCCCACTTTTCTCTCCCATACTCCCTCTTTCTTGAACTCTTACATTGCTTCTACTTTTTTGTCTATCTTCAGAGCTTTATTTCTTACTATAGTTTACATTCATATTCTACAAGTATCCTCTTCACTGAGAGTGTCTCTTCATCGTGCTGATTTTTCTAAAGTAACTAAGTATAGTGAATCTGACATGACTTCAGAGTTAGTGGAATGAAACTTTTAATAAGAATATCTATAATAAATATTAACTAACAGTTTTCAATGTTAAATGTATGGGTATTATAACGTTTATTATCTCCATTGGCAATTGATCGCAGGTTATCAACGTTTGCTTATGACTGTTTGTTTATTACCCACTTCTCTCAAGAGCATCGCTTGTAGTCCTTCATAAAACTCTTAAAAGTTTGTTTGTTTGTCTACTACAGTCAACTGCCGTTAATTCGACCGCCTCCGTTCCGGAGTCATCGGTCGAATTAAACGTTTATCCAATCAGAAGCATTTAATGTAACAGAATTTTATCATACACGTTATAAACTAGCCTTTA